TTTTTGGTTTTTTAGTAGAGATGGGGATTTCACCATGTTGGCCAGGCCTGTTTCGAAGTCCTGACCACAGGTGACACACCAGCCTCCTCATTCCAGAGTGCTGGGATTACAGGCGTGAACCACCGCGCCCTGTCCATTTTCTTAATCTTACTCCAAAAAGAGTTCAGCTTCCCTTCCTATGTCCTCTCTTCTCACCCTCCAGCCTATAGCTAACTGGCCGGCTCCTGAGCTCCATCTGTGCCTTCCATGGGATTCTTTTGCTGCAGCGGTCACTACTGAGGTTTCTTGCTTGCCTTCCCCAGCCTTGGTCTTAGGCTTCTCCAATTCCTTGAGCTCAGAGCTAGGGACGGGTAAGTCGGTCCTTAACAGTCTAAGGCCAGTGGTCATTCTTGTATGCTTCACGGCCTCATCTTGCGACTTAATTGTTTTCTCGTCTCTTCTGTTTTTCTGTCCACTGAGCCCGATGCCCCGGAAATCAGAATCTTCAACTCTGAAAGGGCGGGAGGGGTGCAGCAGGCGACATAGCAAGTGGAGGGTCAGCGAGGAAGCGGAATCCGGCGGCCTCCGGGAGCGGCCGGCAGAGGGCGCGCCGGGACCGGGAGAGGCGACTGCAGCTGCTGCGGGCCGCTGGCCCCGAAGGGGACGCGGAGGACGCCAGCCCTTGGGAAGCGCACTTGGGACTGGCCCAGCAGCGCCTGGGGGCACGTGTGCTGCCCCGGGGCGCGCTGCCCTGGCTAAAAATACATCGCGCATCCGCGTCCTCCCTGGTGGGGGAGGCGGCCCTAGGGAGGAGATACTGCTGGAGCCTCGTTTTTCTGGGATTACAGGCGTGAGCCACCGCGCCCGGCCCATTTTCTTAATCTTCCCAGGCTCCCGAGAAACCTGGTACAAGCCTCTCACTGCCCCTCAGTCCTCTCATCTGTGGAATGGGGGCTGTTCATGTATTCGATAAATATTGAACGTGTACGTTGTACCAGGCACTGCTGCAGGCGTCCGGCTTAACTACAAGGCTCTTACTGCTGTGGAGTTTACAGCCCACCGTGTGCAGGGAAATAAAATAAGCAAATGGTCAGGATCGTGTCATATTTTCAAAAATGCCATCAGAAAAAGAAGGAATGGTGCGATCGCGAAGAGTCGTATGTAAGCTGCTACTTGAAGAGAGCCACCCTGGGACACGAAGGCGTGTTCTCGGCAGAGGAAACTGCATGTGCAAAAGGCCTCGAGTCCGCTGGAGCTTGACGCCTGACCGGAGACCACAGCCCCCGGCAGGCAGATGTGAGAGACCCCAAAGCCAGTCTAGGGCGGTAGACATCAGAGCTGCAGCAGTCGGCATGGGCCACATAGGTGGACACATTGATCAAAACTCAGGAAGTCTGGGCGCAGTGACTCACGCCTGTCATCCCAACACTTTGGGAGGCTGAGGCGGGTGGGTCACCGGTCAGGAATTCGAGACCAGCTTGACCAATATGGTGAAACCCCATCTCTACTAAAAATACAAAAATTAGCCGGGCTGTGGTGGCGCACGCCTGTCATTCCAGGTACTCAGGAGGCTGAGGAGGGAGAATCGCTTGAATCCGGGAGGCGGAGGCTGCAGTGAGCCCAGATCACGCACTGCGCTCCAGCCTGGGCGACAGAGGGAGACTTTGTGTCAGAACAAACAAACAAACACACCCAACTCAGCGAAGAGTTGCACATTGTACTACTTGTAAACTTTGTTTCCAATACAGACATAGGTAGAGGCAGGCCAGGAGCCACTTTGAGGTGGCTCAAGGCAGGAGAATCGCTTGAATCCGGGAGATGGAGGTTGTAGAGAGCTGAGATCGCGCCACTGCACTCTAGTCTGGGCGACAGAGCGAGACCCTGTCTCAAAAAAAAAAAAGAAAAGAAAGAAAGAAAAGAGTGGGGGGTCCTGGCTTATGGAAGCAAGTGTGAGCCGGGAAATCCATTCTGCTGCGCTTTCCAGCCTATCCGGCGGCGTACCCCGCAGCCCCAGGGTGTGCAGGGCCGTCTTGTGGGGAGAGGGTGCCAAGGGCAGCGGTGGCCGGAAGGCGTCAGCACCTGGCAGCATACGGGCAAGGTCGGTCTCGAGGTTGGAGGCGAGCAGTGCTACTCACTGCCAGAACCGAGGCTGCAGACTCCCGCCCCTCGCTCAGGTCGTCACGGGCAACCTTGGCGCCGCGGCCACGGCCCCGCCCTTCG